ACTGGACGTGCTCTGGAGTGGGCTGAGGCTAAGTTTCCCTCCCCCACCAATTTTGGCTGCACATTTTCAGAGTTTTTGAAGGAACTTAAGCAGGTTTTCTGCCGTGACACCGACAAGACTGCCGTTTCCCGAGAGCTGTGGACCCTCAAGCAGGGTCAAAGAACAGTTTCTGAGTTCGCCATTGACTTTAGAATTAAGGCTGCAGCATCTGGTTGGGACGCAGCCGCACAAAAGAGTGCTTATTTCCACGCTCTCAATGAGCAGGTAAAGGATGAACTAGCCACGCTAGATGAACCAGAGACTTTAGAAGATTTCATTAGTCTCACCATAAAAATAGATAACCGCATCAGATCACGTGCCAGAGAACGAGACCGTCGTAACCCTCCATTTAGATCTCATTTTCAGAACCTTCCTGCTATTCCTCTTGGATCTCCAGCATCGACACCTCTCCCTGAGCCAGAACCCATGCAGCTGGGGCGAACTCGCTTAACCCCGGAGGAGAGACAGAGGAGGTTACATTCACGTCTTTGTCTGTACTGTGGTGAGTCCGGCCACTTTATTGCCAACTGTCAAGTTCGTTTAAACTCCCCGGCCCGACAGTAACGACGAGAAGACTGTCGGAGCCAACACCCACAACCCATTCTCGTCTCATCCTACCGGCAACTCTCATAAATAATCACTTGTCTCTTCCCCTGTCAGTACTTATCGACTCTGGCTGCGAACAAAATCTAATTGATTCAGCTCTAGCCAAACAGATGGCCATCGAGGTAGAACCACTACTGGTTCCCCTCCGAGTTGCTGCCCTCAACGGTAAAGCATTACCTCACATCACACACAGGACTAAGCCAGTCTGTCTCGTTGTTTCAGGTAATCATTCTGAATCAATATCCTTTTTTGTGTTCAGTGCTGCCAGTTCTCCCATTGTTCTGGGATTTAACTGGTTACTAGCCCATAACCCTCACATTAACTGGGTTAAAGCTCACATAGAGTCCTGGTCGTCTAACTGTCAGGCCACCTGCCTCCGTTCAGCTATTCCCTCGAGCTCCCCGACTAAGAATCCTTCTGAGAGTGAATCCCCCGATCTTTCCTCTGTACCCGCTGAGTACCATGATCTGGCGCCAGTATTCAATAAAGATAAGGCCCTGTCACTTCCACCTCATCGTCCCTATGACTGCGCCCTCGACCTCCTGCCTGGCGCCCCATTACCCAACAGTCGCTTGTATAACATCTCCCGCCCCGAACGCCAAACCCTGGAGAAATACATCAATGACTCCCTAGCAGCAGGTATCATCCGAACATCCACCTCACCCCTAGGGGCAGGATTTTTTTTTGTTGGCAAAAAGGATGGCTCGCTACGACCGTGTATTGACTACAGAGGGCTGAATCAAATAACCATTAAGAACAAGTACCCACTACCCCTCCTCTCTTCTGCCTTCGAACCCGTTCAGGGAGCAACCATTTTCACCAAACTGGATCTGAGAAATGCCTACCACCTCCTTCGGGTTCGAGAAGGAGATGAATGGAAGACCGCTTTCAAAACACCTATGGGTCACTATGAGTATTTAGTCATGCCCTTCGGCCTGTCAAACGCTCCCGCCTTCTTCCAAGCATTAGTGAATGATGTATTAAGAGACTTCATAAATGATTTTGTATTTGTCTATCTGGACGATATTCTGATTTATTCCAGCACCCTGAAGGAACACAAACAGCATGTCCGACAAGTTCTCCAGCGCCTCCTTGAGAACCGGCTTTATGTCAAAGCCGAAAAATGTGAGTTTCATCAACCCTCAGTCACCTTCCTCGGCTATGTGCTCGAGGGCAGACAGGTAAGACCGTCGGAGGATAAAATGAAAGCAGTGTTGGAGTGGCCCAAACCTGAAACAAGCAACTGCAAAGGTTTCTTGGGTTTGCCAATTTCTACCGGCGTTTTATACGCAACTACAGCCAGACGGCTTCTCCACTGACGGCTCTTACATC